TGTCAATATATTTTGTGCAATGCTTTTGTAGAGACAGCACTAACTCTTTACATTGTGTGAACTTGACTTATATTTTGTATGTTGTTTTGTTAGAGATCAGTGCTATCCCTTTACATTAAGTTAATTTGACTATGTTCTGCTGGTTCAACAATATGATTCCATTGCCTTATAATCTTCCTTAGAGCATTTCTTGAAGCCTTTCTCAAATGTAGCTGATTCATTAGAAAAGATTACCTACAATTCTATAAGTACAAGGGGGTTTCCAAAAGTTTGTGGGAACATAGAATTAAATAGCAGACGTTTTCCATGAAGTTTTTGAAGTCCTCTCATATTTGAAGGAACTTATTTCCCAGATGAGGGTAATCCATTTATATCTCCAAAGCTTGTATGATTCTATTAGATTCTTCACAAGGATGACATCTTTCAGTTAAATTTTGGACATCCTGGTGGAACAAAGCACAATTTAAAGAGAACATAGATGTATGTCCATGATTCACTTAAGTAACATTAATTATGTTGACTTGGTTCATCACATTTACTACTGAGTGGTAATAAACACTATTTAATCATAACCAATACTAAAATTTATTATTATTGGTCAAAGTTTACTCCTATATTATCTCCACAAATTTGCATCAATGTTTTATAGTTATTTCCTTCTTATAAAATTAAAGCATTATTATTTATTGTTTTGTTAACTTATCTAAATTGTATTTTCCAACTTTGTCTTATTTAATTATTTTAATATGGCACTTAAAGATTCACTTTTAGATTCAGTGAGGTCATAACATTTAAGTGGGACAAGAAATAGCTCATCTATTTCAATGTGTTTCCACTAATGGCCAGGGGAACACTTGTGAAACTATAAGAGTTAGTCTCAGTACTCAAAGCTCTGGCCGGCTGTTCCCAGATCTCTTCAGCTGTTTTCGGTCACTTTCACTAAAGGCTCTTAATTAACCAAGTGGTGTACAAAGGAAGTTGGTTCGTATATATTTTTCTCTTGGATATATTATAATTCAAAAGAGAGGGCTTATAACAAGAACATCTGAACTCTTCTTTGCTTTGAAAATTGCTGTAATTTCTCCCAGTTATGAAGGAGGTAGGTGTAACAATGAGATGGAAGCCTATTAGTAGACCTAACCAAATTATATCATTTTATGGACAATGAGGTGCTTCTTTAAGTAGGATTCCACTCTTGTTTCAGAATTTAATTGCTTGTTTATCTTCAGGAAAATTGAAAGACACTGTGAAGGTGGCATAAATAATTAACCAAGTTAGTGTGAATGATGTTAGCAAACATAACCCTTAGTATAAGTGTCACACTGCCAAGTTGTGGGATCTTTCTTGGGAACCTCCCAGAGTAATCTATGTGTTGCTCCCAACTTGTGAATCCTTATCTCTTTCTTCCTCTTTTGTCACTTTGCCATCCTTTTTGCAACCATAATAAAATCTAGTTGGGGATATTTTGTTCAAATAAAGGTGCAAGTCATATTCTTAGAGTTTCAAAGAGGAAATATTTCAGCTTAATAAGCTCATGTCAAAAACAAGAACAGATCCAGGGATTTTGAATGGTATGCCCAACATGACAGAGTAAGTTAATGCCAGAAACCAAGTATCCTGACTTCTATCTCAGTGAGTCATACACAGCCTTAAGTTATTTTTTTTCTTTAAAGAGGTAACACTCTTTCTTTTTTTTTTTTTTTGAGGTAACAATCTTTAAGATAAGCATGTACCATTTAAGATAATGGTTGGATTTCGAGCATGGAAAAGGATTTTCTTGCTCAATTATGCCTAGCTTTACATGCTTACTACAACCAATGAAAAGGCTTCTGGAGAACGTCAACGAATCTAAGTTAACGTTTAACGTGGTCTTACTAGAAGTCTTCTTTTTTTATTTGAATCATTATTTTAGGAGTTCTAGATGAGCTTTAAAAGGTTGTGGTGGTGAAGGGAGTCTGATGGTCCAGGAGCCCATGTCCTTCAGCTTCCCTCAGCAGCATATGCACTGGAGAAGAGACGCCTGACCTAAATGAGCTGAGAAGCAAAAAACACTGTCCTCAAGTTGATTCTGACTCAGCAACACTGGCAGACTTCCTCTTTCTCCCCCAGAGCACCTAGCGTGGGTTTGAAGCAGAGACCTTGTGGTCAGCAGTCCAACACTTACTCCAGAGGGCCTCCAGAGATCCTCTGCTAAAGAATATCAAGACTAAACGGTTACTTTCTACCTTGCTAGCAAGACCCTCAATGAAACACTCACGGAGTGGCTATAACAATGGACCAGAACAAGGCAAGAATTGTGAGGACAGCATGCAAGAAGCTTGTGTGCAGGGCTGCTATGAGTCTGAACTGACTCAATGGCATTTAGCAACAATCATGTTAGAAAACCTTTTTGCTACAATTCAGCTCCTTGGACCAACAATCATCCTTGGTTTGAAGTTGTAACGATCAAGTCTGTCCTTCTCGCTCAGTGACATAGAGTGGTATCACACCAGTAAATCTCAATCTACGTTGCATACCTGATTCTAAAGGAATAACGCAACCAATCAGCCCTGTCAAAAATAATCTCACAGTAGGAATATCTGCCTCTTTGTTAGACAGTATTAGCTTAATTACGTTGATTATTGAAGTAAGCAGAAGAGAACTAAAATGAGTGTCCACGATCTGTTCAACAATTAGATGTCTCTTTATGCTTGGAAAGAAATTTGGAATTCTTCATTTTAAGAGAAGTTTGGAAATAGTAATGTGAGGCATGAGTGAAAGAGTCAGATTAAAGATAATGAGTAGAAAATTATAATTTCCAAGGCATACGAAAGAACTGTGATTAATGAAGTAAAGAAAACAAATAATTCTATTCCTCCAAGAAATTTAGCAAGATTACTCTCTGTCCTTTCATGTTTCATCTGGAATTGCGTCCATCAATTTCCTCTTGTGTTTTGACATTTTATTTATCATTAACGCCGACGCTGTCTGATATGTATTGTTATGGCCATGTTTTCCCTTAGGGCAGGGGTGGGAACATCCAGCCTGTGAGGCCGATTTAAAAAATCAAACTCACTGCCATCGAGTCCATGCCAATGCACAGTGACCCTATAGGATAGAGTAGAACTGCCCCTGTCAGTTTCCAAGACTATAAACTCTTTATGAGAATACAAAGGACTGTCTTCTCCTCTAAGGAGGCTAGTGGTTTCAAACTACCAACCTTGTAGTTAGCAGCCCATAAAATCATCAATACCAGCTGACATTACACACCTCAATAAAGAGAAGCCGTTCTAGCTACCACATTAACTCGTTGCTATTGAGTCCATTCTGACTCATGGTGGCCCCATAGTGCACGGTAGGACTGTCCCTGTGGGTTTCCAAGACTATAACTCTTTAAAGAAGTAGAAGGCCTCATATTTCTCCCAAGAAGCAGTTGATGGTTTTGAACTACTGGCCTGGTGGCTATCAACCCAATGAGCAACCTAAATGCCACTAGGGCTCCTTCCCAGTAGGGATGAGTTAATTAAATGTTTGACCAGTGTGGCCCATGAATGATGTTACAAATATCTAAATGGCCCTTTGCAACAAAAAAAAAGGTTCCCTACTTCATTTCAAAATTTCTTGAGTTATTCATATTTTTCTCTCTTCAACACAATTGAAATGGCCCTCTCAACTTATGTGCAACAGCCACTTTCTATGTTCTGACCAACAATACATTTTACACTTCTTGGCAGTTATCCTCCTCCTCCTCTGTCTCCTTTCAAGTATGATCCTGAGTCAAGAAGTTGTCCTTTTATTGCATATTTCTATAAAAGTGCTAAGATGCTTTAGTGGGCAAGTGGGTTAAGTATTCAGCTGCTAATAAAGGGTCAGCAGTTCAAACCCACCAGCTGCTCCTCTGGATAAAAATGAAGCCTTCTGCTCCACAGTAGATGTGTAGTCTCAGAAATCCTACAGAGCAGTTCCACACTGTCCAAAAAAGATCACTATGAGTTGGAATAGATAAATCTTTATGGGTGCAGGCAGCCTTATTTATCTTCCATGAAGGGGATTGAACCCCTGACCTTAGGGTTCGTAGTCCAATACTAACTTACAGGTCCTCAACAGGAGCTCTGGTGGCTGGCACTGTTTAGTAAGAGCAAGATTGGCAGATAACATGTCCCTAGTCGCAAAGTGGGCAACTCAAACCCACCAGCTTCTCAATAGAAGACTTTTGCTCCCATAAAGATTTACAGCCTGGGAAACCCTATACAGGGTTACTATAAATCAAAATCTATTCAGTGGCAGTAGGCTGTGGATAAAGTCAGAATCAGCTGCATGATCATGGGTTTGTTATTATCAGAATTGAAACCATCACAATGCTTCCAATTTCTCAGAATAAAAACATTGAAGTTATCTTTAATCCTTTTCCATATTCTTTTAATAAATTTCCTGTTCTTGAAAGAAATATGTTCCCCGTGAGCTTTGAGCTGAGGACAACCCATTGCAACCCCATGATGTGCATCAGTGTAGAAGTGTGCTGAGTTTTCAGGAAGTAAGCTACTGGGGCCTTTTTAAAGATGCCTGGGTGCTGCAAACAATTAAGACACTCAGCTGTAAACAAAAGGGTGGGGGGTTAGAATCCCCCCAGAGGCACCTTAGAAGAAAGTCCTGGGGCTCTCCATTCCAAACTTTGCCACACAAAGAGTGGAGCATGATTCCACTGTGACATTTATGAAATTATCACAAGTTGGAATCAACTCAATGGCAACTGGTTTCCCTATTGTCACTACCTAATGGATGGCGGTCACATACTAAAAACGAGCTAAGTGCTAGCACTGTAGATGCACTGTCTTCACAGCAGTCGTATGGACTAGTACTATTGCCACTTTTTCTTTCTTTTGTTTAACTAGATAAGACTGAAAGAGGTTAAGTGACTTGCCCAAGGTGATCACCTATATGTATCTCAGACTTGCAGCAAGATGTAAGCCTAGGCCACCTGGCCCAGAAGTGCATATCTAAATGACTGCAATGTTTTACTTATGGCACTTCTAGCAGTCGGAATCCCCTTGACGGAAGTGATTGAAGTTTTCTCTATGAATCATAAAGTAATAAATCTTGGTGCTAATAGCTAACTAAATATACCTTCTTCAGCCCTTAACTGCTCATACAACCACAACTTGCAGCTTGTTGTTTTTTTTTTATTAAGCTTAACTATGTTTCCAGTCTCTTCCTTGTCTAAATCACACTGAGGCCAGAGTTAATTTATTTAATAATTGACCAGGTGGGGTTTTTTTTATTAGCTGCTCAAGACTTTACAAAACCCAAATCGTACAGTAAGCATTCCAAAAATACTTTCCAATTTTCTCTCCTACTAAATAAAGCCACTCACGCTTTCTCCCATACAAATGTATTGCACTGAACTCCCTTCACATCTGAATGTTCCCTTTTTCTCACGTGTTGAATTGTATTTTTCTGATATTGTTTGGTTGTTCTGTTTTTCATCTTTCATTTTACTTGGCATCATTCCTTTGCCCTCTGCATTTTAATACCACCCAACAACAATTGTAAACCCCTTTCTCTAGAAGGGTTGATAACTCAGCTTCACATTTTAGAATCATCATAAATTTGCATTTTCCCTAAGGCTGGGTTGCATGACAAGTGAGCCCTGGGGCACAGTAGCTAAAGCACTCAGCTGCTAATCACAGAGTTGACGGTTTGAATCCACTGCTACGCCACAGGAAAAATACCGGCACTTTCTGCAGCTGTCAAGGTTGAAACACTGGAAACACGGGGAAGTTCTTCTGTCTTCAGTAAGATTGGTATGAGTTAGAATTGACTCGATGGCCGTGTTTTGTGTTTGTTTTTGTTTTTAAGACTGAGTTCCTAAAGCATCTTTGCGTTTCTATTTTCACTCCTGAAACACGATGAAAATTATTTTGAAGTTGTGACCTCCCCTACCCTCCATATAGTTCTAGAGTACGTGGAAACTTTGGAATTTTTTAATCTAATACATACATTTAAAATGAAAGAAGAAAGAGATATGGGGGTTCAAACTTGAATACATACCTTGATTGTTATTTCCAGCATATAACTAAAATTTGAAAGGATTACTGGGGCTCTCTGGTGTCTTAGTGGTTACAGATTGGGCTATGATCCCCATGATGTGCAGTCCAAACCCACCAGTCTGCACCATGAGAGAAAGATGCAGCTTTCTATTGTGGTAAACCATTAGTATCTGAGGCTCACAGGGGCAGTTCTACCCTGTCCTATAGGGTCTGTAGGAGTCAGCATCCACTCAATGGCAGTGACTGAAGTTTCCTTGATGAATCATAATGAATCTCACTGCTAATAGTTAACTAAATCTATGGAACACTTGAAGCTGGTAGTGTAGTGGTTTTATGTTGGGCTGTGATGTGCAAGGTGAACAGTTCGAAATCACCAGCAGCTCCACAGAGGAAAACTGTTTTCTACTCCTTTAAACAGTTACAGTCCTGGAAACCCACAGGGGGTCACCATGAGTCAGTGTTGACTGGATGGTAGTGAGGTTGCCTTTTTTGTTTTATTGAACACTTCTCAAAAAACATGCTGCCATTGAATCAATGCTGACTCAAAGTGACCTCCCTGTGCGTTTCTGAGACTGTATCTGTTTACTGGAGTAGAAAGCCCCATCTTTCTCCCAGGGAGCTGCTAGTGGTTTCAAACTGCAGACCCTGCAGATCACAGCCCAATTCATAACCACAATCCACCCAGGCCCCTTATTAAACACTTAATAAATACAAAATTTCCTGTAAAATTCATTTGAAATTCACAAAAATCATGAGATGACCATAATTATTACCACATTAATAAAATAAACCTTAAAGATGATGAATAAAATGTGTAAGGTCCACAGGCTGCACACAATACCCATTCACTATATTCCCTCTCACAATGAGGTAAGCAAAAGTGAAGATTTGTAGTTTAATGGAGAGAATGGAACCAACAACTAGACACAAAACTGTGATTGCAGACTTCTAGGCTACTGGTCTTTAGAGAATCTACTCTCTCTTTGGTAAGAAGGACATATATAACATCATATTTGCATACATTTAAGTGCTTAAGCATGTACTATAGAATCAACCATTCCTAAAGAAAGGAGATAAACATAGGCTAGTATTAAAAGAATAATCCAGCAGAGATCACAGCATGAACACAAGTATTTTATTAGGAATAAGTTGTGTAAACATAGGACTGGTAACTGCGAGGTTGGTCGTTCAAACCCACCAGCCGCTCAGAGGCAACCTGCTCTTGTAAAAATTTACAGCTTCCAAAACCCTATAAAAGATCGCTATGAGTCAATCAAATAGAGGACAGTAAATTTAAGTCTACTGTAAGTGTTAGCTCTGAAAAGACTTGGATAACTGGACTATAAGACATGACAGGACAATATTGGTTAAAATGGTGAGTTCAGATTCTGTGTATTTTAAAAGCTTTTGTGCAATAAACCATATAATGTCATTATAAGAACATTACAAAGTGGTCCTGGCATATACAAATATACAGAATAATACAAAAGGAGGCTTTGGGTTTACATAGAATAACCCTGACTTCCTTCTCATCTCCTTCTCTAAGGTCATTACAGAGGCTGCTTCCTGGAATGAATCAATACATGAAACAAATCACTCCGTGGTGACGGAGTTTATTTTTCTGGGACTCTCCAATTCTCAAGACCTTCAGATTTTCCTCTTTGTATTCTTCTTCGTGTTCTATGTAGGAATCGTGTTGGGAAACCTTCTCATTGTCATCACTGTGGCTTCTGACTCCCACCTTCACTCTCCCATGTACTTCCTGCTGGCCAACCTTTCCCTCATCGATCTATGTCTGTCTTCAGTCACAGCCCCCAAGATGATCACTGACTTCTTCAGACAGCGCAAAGTCATCTCTTTCGAGGGCTGTCTGGGTCAGATCTTTCTCCTTCACTTCTTTGGTGGTGGTGAGCTGATAATCCTTATAGCCATGGCCTTTGACAGATACATAGCAATCTGTAAACCCCTTCACTACACCACCATTATGTGTGGCAATGTCTGCGTGGGCATTGTGGCTGCTGCTTGGGGAATCGGCTTCCTCCATTCAGTGAGTCAGTTGGCCTTTGCAGTGAACTTACCTTTTTGTGGCCCCAATGAGGTAGACAGCTTTTATTGTGACCTTCCCAGAGTCATAAAACTTGCCTGCACTGACACCTATCAGTTGGATATCATGGTCATTGCTAACAGTGGTGTGCTCACTGTGTGTTCTTTTGTTCTCCTGCTCCGTCACCCTAGTGACAATTCAATGTCGTCCTTCACACAGGGCATCCAAGGCTCTTTCCACGTTGACTGCTCACATCACGGTCGTTTTTTTGTTCTTTGGACCTTGTATCTTCATTTATGCCTGGCCATTCCCTATCAAGTCATTAGATAAATGCCTTGCCGTGTTTTACTCTGTAGTCACTCCTCTCTTGAACCCAATAATATATACACTTCGGAACAAAGATATGAAGGCTGCCATGAGACGGTTGAGAAAATGGAATGTGAGCTGTAGGATGAAGACTTAGATCTTTTGTACTGGTGAGACTGAGCTGAGATAATATCATATGCTAAGGGGCTTCAAAAATTTCATGGGAAAATTCCATTATATTTTAATTCCATTCTTTCCATAAACTTTTTGCCACCCCTTCATATATTAAGTAAGATTGATGAAGTACTTAGGAAAGTTCATAAAAATTGTACATTTTTCCATGTCAATTAGTAATTGACCATGAACTTTCACATATATTGTCTCAATCTATCATCAAATCACCTTGTCTGTTTTTTTTTGGATAAAGATTCAAAATTAATTATCTTGGTTTCAAAATATTCTCTCTTCTACTTCTCAGAGCAATGAAAGGAACAGACATCTAGCCTTCGTGCCTCTCTATTCCTTCTTGTTAGTCCTCAGGGCAATTAAAGGGAAGGACAGAAACCAGACTGGATTATAAATGGTTTTAAAGCTTATTTTTCCTAATTTTGCATAAAATTATCAAGGAAGCAACTGCTTAATTCCTAGCTTTAAAAAGGGTGCTAGTGAGAAGGATATGGATGCCCATTTTTTAGAGGTTAAATAAAAAGCATACTAATGTAACATTTTATAATTCACTTTTCTATCAATATAATAATCCATAATCTATTCATGCATTATTAGGAGTGACAGAAAGAGGGAGTCAGGCAATGTGAAATTCACTTGGTAGGGAATTGATATCCTGTGACAGCAACTGCTCATTAGCAGTAAAAAGTATCTGGCAGAATCCAGGTCTCTCAACATATTAGCATGAAATGTGCTATTTTGATTTACACATGTCATTTTTAAGAGTATGGGTTTTGAAATTAGAGTCTATTGATCACTTAATAGTCATATATTTGTATATATTATTTAACTTTCATAAATTTCCATTTCCACAACTATTAAAAGGAGATTATAATACATATGTCATGCGGTTAATATGGTGACAATATAATGAGACATAATAATGAGACAATATAAACCACATAGCACATTTTGTGACATATCCAACCCTCAATATATAGATGTTACCATTTTAGCTATTATTAAATCCTATATATTAACACAAAGTAAAAAAATTCCATATTTTGATCCCAACATTCTTGAGATATTGAATACATTACAATCACTAACAGGTATTCATTGAGGATATTGTAGCTGTAAGTGAATATGTGTATATTTATATGATCTCATTAAGAAATTTTTCCTAGCATATGATGTGCAGAATACAGCCAACATACTTTTCCCATGAGATCCTTGATATCCAGTTAGTCACTGTCACATTGAAATATCCTTTCCTTTCCCATTGATTTGTGTTACTATCCTAGAACTCTACCACCTTTAGGAGATACTGAAAATCTGGGTAGTAATATAAAGAAAACACAGGTTTAAAAATAGTTTGATTTAATGTGCTTGACACATGTTTGGATGTATGGATTGTGATAAGAGTTGCATGAACCCCCAATAAAATGATTTAAAAGAAAAATAGCTTGACCAATAATTCTGATAAAAATCTCCTCTGTCCAGTGAGAATCACTGAAACAGAAGAAAAATTAAGATGAAATATTCTAAGTAAAAAGATTGTAAGCTTTTCTAATTGTGACTTGAATTCAATAGTAAAGAATTTCATGATAAGAACATTAAAATTATGTTTAATCCATATAAAAGTAATTATAATATCAATAGGGTAGTGAGTAACAAGATAGACATATTTAATTATAAATTGGATATACGCTTCACATTACAGACAAGGATATCTTGGAGGAGAATTAAATATTTAAATATTTTTAAAAATGTATAGAAATATTCAAAGAAATCATTAACTACTTTCTTTATAATCCATAAATGTGGTAAATAGTGATAAAATTGATGACATAGCTTTAATTTTTTAAATGTATGGAAAAACCAATAGAAAAGTAAGATGATGAATGAGACAATAAGAGAAAATAAAGTATTAAGCAGCTATAAGAATAAAAGAAGATTAAAAACATATGACAGCTCAAGATATGAAAAAATAATAATAATTTATAAATTATCAAGGATTCATGAGTAAGGGAGGGTGAATAAGGGAGGGGAAACAATGAGAAGCTGATATCAAGGGCTCTAGTAGAAAGAAAATGCTTTGAAAAGGGTTATGTGCTCTACACAATTGATCTATGTATTGTGATGAATTTTATGAGCCCCAATAAATTGATTTAAAAAAAAAAAAAGAAAATGATGATGGCAACATATGGACAAATGTGATTGACACAATGGATGAATGTATGGATTGTGATAAAAGTTGTACAAGCCTCCAATAAAATGATTTATAATAAAAAACAAAACAAAAACATGATCGCAAAAATCTTCACATGGTTCCTTTTACCTGATTTATTCATAAATGTCACAACTTGGAAACAACTAAGATATCCTTTAACAAGTACATTCCAACTGTGCAGCATTCACACATTGGGGGGGTTATTCAGTGATTTTAAAGAAGAACAGTCAAAATGGATAGTAGAATTTTAAATGTATATTTTAAGTGAAAAAGGCCAACCTGGAAAAGTTACATTCAAATATATTACATTCTTAAGAAGGCAAAAAATCAGAATATGTAAATTATGTGCCAATAAAATTGTTGGGGGGAAAATTAGTCACAATTGTAGATGCAAAGAAAGTGGAGCAGAATGAATGAGTGGAACTCAGCGCATTTGTAGGTCAATGAAACTCTCCTGCATGATAATATACTGGTGGTCTGTGCCATTATGCATTTGTCAAAACCCATAGCACTGCAAAACACAACTGAACCCTAGTGGAAACTATTGACCTCTGTTTTGAAGGCACTCTAAAGAAACTAAGACAAATGCATTACAGGGAGAACTTGTTTGCAGCTAGTCCTATTCACAGAGGTGTGTTTAAACATGTTCTGCTTGTCATAAAACTGTGCATGTATGAACTAGAACCCTAGAAGCAATTCTTTTTCACTTACTTTCATACGTGTGTGTGTTATGAGGATAGGATGAAGACCAGTGAAACAGTACAGAGAACCTTGAAACCAAATATTGCATATGTGAAAGTTGACATGTGCCAAATGGCATGTAAAAAGAGGATTTACTTCTCAATAAGCTGATATCTTGAAAATAGTTGACATGAAAAAAGACGAAATTACATTTTACCCTATACTGCATACCAAAATTAACTCCAGACCAAAAAAAGTCTTTGTGGCACAGTGAATTACTTGATAATGGGTCTTCTAGTCATAGTCTTTGTAACTACCACCAAATGGCTGGGTGGAGTCATGCAAACAGTGTTTATGAAGCTTTATTGTGGTATTGGTCACATATGACCTGCTGCTGGGTTTTAAATGAGTCATCTCAGAAACGGGAAGCGCTCACTAGCATCTAGCAGGATGGACCAGTGAAGGAATCCATCTTTTGGAACTCTAGATCCCTGCAAGCTAAATCTCTTGAACCTGAGTCAGAGAGCTGTGACAAGAGAGAAGTGGCAGTAGCAGAAACAGCAGCACTAACAGCGTGAGACAGAGGACCTGGCGTCTCAGTTCAAAGAACAAGTTAAGTGCCTTTGGGCAGGCCCATCACATCAAGCCTAAGCTTGGGTAGCTAGGAACAGGCAATTTAGAAATTCGGTTTTTTTTAATGGAGGAAGATAAAGCCATGACATGTCTGGATCACAGGCTCTTATTGGTATGTTAACACACACATATACACAAGGACAATTGGGTGAGAAGAAATTAAGCCTTCAGTGTGAAAGCGACTACAGTTAGAAGAGCCCAGGGATGGGCTTCAGAGGCAGTGAAGTATTAAATGTGGATCTTCCAACCAAAGTGTCTAACTCTCACCAAATGGCTTTCCCTGCATGGGTCTGGTAAGAAGATGAAGTAAGATACTGATAGGATACCTGGAGGGAGTACCAAGCTTCTGTGCATGAAATGAGCCATCTGAGAAGCAGGAAAAGGAATCTCATTCACCAGCAAGAGCCAGGAGTGGAGCTCATGCTCTGGGCGTGAGATTCCAGCACAGTGAGCCTCCTGAATCCAGATGACAACTACATCAGAGAAGCAGCAGCAGAACGAGGAGCCAGAGCCTGGAACAGAATGATGGTCTTTCCCACACAGAGAGCAAGTGAATCTGAGTGCTTTTCTGCAGGACTCTGGCTTGGGGAATGGGGTGCCTCTAGTCATTTAATTCAAGAAGTTGGGATGCTGAGCCATGGAAGTTGAACTGATAGCTTTTGGACTAAGGTTTATAGGAGGGGGGTGCTTCTGAGCACTTAATTCAGGGAGCTGGGTTTGCTGACCTCCAAAGCTTAACCTGAATGCCTTTGGGTTGAGGCTTATAGCAGAGTGATTAACCCTTTGGGCATTGATTAGCAGACTTGACAGAACTTTGTAACATATTCTGACAAATAACTCAACCCTGAGTATTGCTCACTGGCATGATAATTTGTTAACTTTCTAATAAACATTTTCATCATGAATTCTGCCTATCAGTTCTGTATAGCCATCACAATAGATATTAGAAACCAGAGAGATCAAGTAGAGATTTGTAAAATACAAAGCATTAATTAAGGCAGTGCAATTGAAGGGTGGCCTCCAAGCACGTAATCAGATGCTACATTTGGTGACCCATTGAGTTAGAGCTAATGTCTTGAGGTTGAAGCTTAGGGTGAAGTGGCATGCCCTTTAGATATTTATGAGCAGTGCTGAAGGAGCTTTGTAACATTGCCTTATCAGAAAAGAAGCCAAGGGTCCTTTCCTCCACAATTCTCCAAAGCTGAGTGAAGAACTGTATTCGGAGGGGTTTTTTTCTGATCCTGAATTGCTACCTGTTGACTTCACGAATAAACCCCATAATCATGGCTATTGTCTGTGAGTTCTACATTACCAATCACAGCAGAGAAGCAAAGAGTGCCGTGGGAGGGATGGTTGGTGTCAGAATTCCTATGAACTCTGCCTCTTAGGAATCAGCCTTGACCTGATGTTGAGTTCGATCATTCTCCTTACCTCTTGCGAAATTA